TGGGAATTCTGCTCCCCCTCCTTCCTGCTACAGCTGTCAGGAAGCTCAGGGGCACACGGAGCCCCACACTCTCTGAGGCGCCTGTTCACATACATTCCCTTGGCTTCCTTCCTCTTGGAGCTCTTTGTTCTGCTTTCTCCCCCACAGGATTGGTTCGACCCTCTGTTTTAACCTTTAAGGAGAATGGGGGAGGGACCTGCCATTTATAGCTTAGGGCTGAAGAGTTCAGGCCTAGGGACTCAGATGGCCTGTGGGCCCAGGTCCCCGCTGCTGCTGTGTGTCCCTGTAAGCCTCTGGCTCCTCATCGACAGCACAGGCAGTGCTTGTGGGAAATAAACGAGGCCATTCGTGTAAAGCGTTTGGAGCCATAGCTGCATCTCAGTGAGTGCCACCTAATGCTAATGAGTATGGTGATGGCGCAATCTTCTCTGCACCACATAATCGGGAGGGAGGAATTCTCTCCGAGTCTCACAGTGGTCCTGGGCTGTAGATGCCGTCTCGTCCGTTTTACAGATGGGAAAAGTGAAGTCGAGCAATGGAGTGACTGGCTTTGATGGTCCCACATTAGGGGAGTGTCAGCGCTGGGACTTGGTTCCAGTGTGTGTCTGTCTGTGTGTGCTGCATCCGCTGTCCACCACAGGGCCTCTCTGGGCCAACAGGGTTGAATCAGGTGGGACCTCCAATGCTAAACAGCTTTATATGGTGGACACATGCGCTGGGGATTTCTCTGCGCCTGTCCTCCCATCTCTCAGATGAGGTGAGCAGGCCAGCTCCGTGGTTCTCCAGCCTGGCTGGACGTCAAGGCCGCCTGACACTGGTTAAAGACACAGCTTCCCGGTCCCCACCCCCATGCTACTGAACCAGACCCTGAAGGCTGGGCTCCAGGAATCTGCGTTTCTAGGAGCCCATGTTGTGATTCTGATGTAGCCAGCCTGGCCTTCCAAAACCTCTGGGTGAGATGTGAAGCAAGCCTGTTCAGGCAGGACACCTCTTCCCTCCAGGGCATGAGACGGTGTCCTCCAGGGAGCCTGTACTTGCTGTGCGCTCACTGTCCTGCCATTCTCTGGGGATCCAGGGAAAAGCACGATTTGGCCAATGTGGCTTCTACAACCTTCAGCATGGCTAACCCATGATTTAACTTCATGAGCCCATCCAACGAGCCCTCCCTTATCACTGATGTTTTTTCTACGGAAATCAAGAGTCTGGGAAGTTTGTAATGTGCCAGGTCATACAGCCTGTCAGGATCATGCCAAAGTTAAAATCCAAATATTTTCAACTTCAAACATGCCCTCTTCTCACTGAATCAGTAAGGAACTTGGCAGTGAGTACAGAGCAGAAGTGACACTAGAGGGAAACCCAATGGAATCGGGATGGTTCTCAATCAGGGAAGGCCATGTCTGATGGGTGACCCATAGTGCTGCCCACATACTTGCATGGGTATTGGTGCGCAGGCGGCTGGTCCTCAAGGGTGGTATGTGCACATAGGAAAAGCCTGTCCTTTCTGACACTGTAACCTCTATGCTCAGCCTCTTCACCAATTGGCCGGGCCTCAGGCTCATCACCAGCTGGTACTGGCCCTGGTGCCGCTGAAGCAGTTCCTCATAGGCCAGGGAAAAAGTCACCTCTGTGCCTGCTGCCAGGCTGGTGGAGATGCGGAACTTCTCTGATTCCCGGTCCCTGGGCAGGAAAGGGAGGAGGGTGGGAAGAGAAAGGTATCTTTTGAGGAGTACAGGGGCTGTTAGACGGCCTAGTTTTGCTCCCCCTAACCCTGGTCCCAGCAGACCTGACTAGGCTTCTCGTTCAACTGAGTCACTGGCCCATGGTCTGTCATCCATGCAGGCACTCATCAGTCTGTCTCTCCCTCCTTCCCTCATTCAACCTCCTAAATATTCTGCTTGAGAAATTATCTCACAGGTGGCCCAGTCTTAAGGGAACTTAGTCCATGAAAATCTGAATCTAGAACACACCAACTAGAGTCTAATGATTCATCTTACAAAAGAGTTTTCAATTTACATACAATGCCTCATCCCCTTCTAACAGCCCCTCCCACTCTCCCCTCCCCTGTGATTTTGAAGGAGCTTGTGTATATGGCAGTAACTCAGTTTGCTGGAGGCAAAGCTAAAGTTTTTCTCTCCAGGAAACTCTCTTGGAAGCTGGGAGGAAACACTGAAGGAAGACAATACATTTCTGCCAGCTGAATGGAACTCAGGAAACAAAATTCAATTTAGAAAAATCTCACTTGCATGTCACCTTCCCGGAAGGTGCCAGTTCTTAAATAAGCCACAATCTGCTGACAGTAGAAAAGTGGAAATGGGGAAGCACATTTCCATTTATTGAATACCCACTCTGTTACAGGCTTTGATATTCATTAATTCACATCATCTTCACATGATCCTGTGAAGTAGACGTCATGTCCCCACTTTACAGAGATGGAGACTGAGGACCAGAGAGAAGGTGCATCTCCCCTGGTCACACAGCTAAGCTGATTAAGTCATGTTTGGACTGGATGGGGCCTTACCTGATGCCTACGTGAGCAGCTGTTTTTCCCTGCTGATGGGCTTCTTCATAGATTTTCTTTGCCTGGTGCTTCTCTTTGACTTCTGCAATGTAGACTTTATTGTTGATGGTCCTAAGGGGGCAAGAAAGAGGAGGGACAGCAGAGACAGAAAATAAAGAGTTGGCCAGAGACAGAGCAAGAGACACATGAGGTAGAAAGAGGAGGGGGATAGAGATAGGGAAAGAGAAAGAACAGCACAGTGCCAGAAAGCCCCAGTGTGAACGGCAAGAAAAGGAGAGAAAAGAAAAAGGAGATTTTCATTATCTCCATTTGTCAGATGGGGAAATAGAGGCCACACAGCATATGGTGGATCTGGTGTTAGAGTTTCGTGTTTCCCAAAGTGCTGAATGAATTCTGCCTTTGGCACACAACATAATGTTAGGTATGATATAACTGAATGTTTTTATTATAATTGTTATGTATTTACAGTAATGTTTACTAAAAATACAACTAACACATTAAACCCATGATCTCATAGATATTGTTGCTCAGAATAAGACTAACTCAGAAAATATTGAAAAAATATTCATTAATACTGCCATATTAATATAAAATATATTAAGTAAATAATATGGGTGGTATAAGTGGTAAAAATTGTGAAAGAAGTGTACAAGTTGCTGCAAAGGCTTTTGGGCCTGACTAAGGAGGAGGCCTTGTCTGCAGGGAGCTCAGACTTGCTTACCCCCGTTTTCCCTATTTCTCTAAGGAAGCTAATAAAGTCAAAAGAAGCCCAAAGAAGGGAGAGAACACTTTTGCCCAAGTCTTCAGGAAAGGGTCCTAGAGAAGGCAGCCTTGAAGCTAGGCCTGAAAGACAGGGAGGATATGGTTAGATAATCCTCACTGGCCATGCCTTCTCAGTTTCCTCTGTTGGCTCTTTCTCTTCCTGACCTCTAAACCTTTGGAACACTCCAAGACTCTGTTGTCAACCTTTTATCCTCTCCTCTCCCTCCCTCTCCCCTTCCGTCCTATGTTCTTTCTACGTTGACTCTCTAGGTGATGTCATTTAGCACCATGACCTTAAATACCATTTATACACAGATGACTCCCAAATCTCTATCTCCAGTGTGGACTTGTGCCCTGAACTCCAGACCCATACATCCAGTTGCTTACTTGACATCTCCACTAGAATGTTCCACAGAGACCTCAAGCTGAACATATCCAAAACTGAGCCCCTGATAACTCTCCCCTCCCAAATCTGCTCCTCCTCTGGTATCCTTGTTTCAGGACATGGTTGCTCAGCTAAAAATCTTAGAGTCATGTTGGATACTCCTCTTTGTTTCACAGTCCACATCCGATCCATCAGGGATTTTCAGCTCCATCTTTAGAAGACATCCACAATCTGACTGACTCTTACCGCTTTATTTGTTGCTGTTATCTGTGGTGCTGGAATATGGCTTGGCACAGAGGAGGTACTCCACAATTATTGTGGAGTGGACATCCTGGGCAGACAGCAGGAGAACACAGAATGTGTTTCAGGGGACAGCAAGTAGTTAAATTTGGCTGGAGTGGAGGGTCAGAGAAGGGAGGCATGGAGAGAAAGCTGGAGTGGAAGAGTGGGCCTAGAGAATAGGGGGCTTTGAACACAAGACTCAATGAGCTCATACAGCCGCTCATAAGACTTTTTGCCATGGTGAATGGAGCGTCTTGGACAAATCTTGCAAAGGGGAGGGATGGGTCAGAGCTAACCTTTGAGGAGTAATAGTTAGGTGTCCTAGAGAAAGTTAGTGCCAGTCTGTAGGATGCAAGTACAACAGCTTCTATTTTACAAATGGAGTAACTGAGGCACAGATGTCAGGAAAGTTGTTTGACTAAGGCAGGAGCTTCCAGGAACACTGAGGGAGGATAGGCAGGCAGCAGAAGAGACCACTCAGGCAAGAAGTGTTTCTAGGCAGCTGAAACAGAGTATTGCTGTGGCTGGGCTAGTGTGGGGGTGGGCCGAGCTGGCACATCCTCAAGGTCTCCTGGGGGGTGGGGGGGTAGGGTGGAGCTGGTCTGGCAGCAGGACACTGGGGCCTCTGTGTGTGCACTGCCTCCAGCCAGCATACTTTCCACAGAGTCTGCCCAAGAACATTTCCTCCAGCCTGCTTTGCTTAATTTTTTTTGAAAATTCTTTTGGTGTTTTTTTTTCTATTGAAGCAAAAATCCAAATTCTGCTTGACTACTTGGCCTTCACATCATTTGACTGCCAGCCTCTCTGGTTAGCCCCCATACTCCAGACCCATGCCTGCTCTTTTTGGTCCTTGATTCCCCTGGGTCCCAACGCGCAATGATCTTGTTCCCTTCAAATCTTACCCATATGGAAATCCTGCTTCCAGGAAGCCCTCCTTGACTGCCTCAGCACTTCTCCCCTCAGCTCCCTGGCTCTGACTCCATACTGGTCCCCTCTAACACAATCCTTTTCCAGGGGAAGTGCCAGGAGGTTCTTGACGGCACAGCCTAGACCCACCCCAGGGCTGCTGTTTCAGGCTGTACAGATTATTGATGGCACAAGAACCTTCTCCCAACTAACAGGGACAAGTGGGGCTGAACAAGGACAGATACTCTGTTTGTGCTCGGCTCAGTAATCTAGTAAATCTGATAGTCCCTCTACCTTAATTCAGGGGCCTTTTTGTAATTCACACTAAGGTGTGATACTGGCTAATGAGGCCTCACTAAGCTTTCTCTTTATTTATTTATTTATTTATTGCATTTTAGGTTTTTGGGTACATGTGAAGAACATGCAAGATTGTTGCATAGGTACACACGTGGCAGTGGGATTTGCTGCCTTCCTCCCCATCACCTACATCTGGCATTTCTCCCCATGCTAATGGATGAACCTGGAAACTGACACAAGAGCAGAAAATCAAACACCGCATGTTCTCACTCATAGGCGGGTGTTGAACAATGAGAACACATGGACACAGGGAGGGGAGCTTTCTCTTTATCTGCTCCGGCTTCCTTGTTTATCACCTTAACAGGGCGCTGTCATCTACCAGGTCTAACAAGCCACAAAAAGGTAAACACCATCTATATTGACTTACTCCCCACTAGTCAGGTTGTTTGTCCGTCGATGGCCTCTCAGATCCACCACCGCTGTTCTGCTCCCACCTTCCGCATCTCCCACGTGGGTTCTGCCCCTGTTTGCCTACTCAGCTCCTGGCCACCTAGCTGGTCCCTCCAACCCACTACCACTTCACAATCATCTCTCCTTGCTTAAAACCTTGCCATGTCTCCTCATTACGGCCCATACTTATTTCTAAAGAGGGGTGCACATGCCCCAGGGGATGCTGGAGACAAATCAAGAGGGAGTGGGAAATAATATTCCCACTCTATTTATAGGGCTTTTTTCTCATCTTTTGGTGATTAATATTTATATGCTTCATAATGTACCTAATATAGTTGCTCAGTAGTATATTTATGTAACGCATAAATTAATAAGTACATATGTTTTGGGAATATATGATCAAGTTTTTCCTGATAGGTGTGCAAACACATGAGATGGTTTAGAGACCATTAAGTGAGACCCAGGTAGGTGTTCTAACATTGGAAGCCCTGCACAGCCTCGTCTTTCTCTGCGTCTCACGTCTCATTTTTTACCACTCTTCTACCTCTTGTCTGTCCCTGACAGTACGGCGACATGGAATTACTTGCAGTTCCTCTCATTGAGGGAACATTTGTGCCTTTATTCCTTTTTCCTGGATTCCTCCAGTCCTGCCCTCACCCTGGTTGCCTGGTGAAGATGTCCTATTTCAAGCCGCAGTTTAGGTGTCATCTTTCTGAGGTTTTCTCCACCAGCCTGGGAATAGGAAACTCACCATTGTCTTCTGGTCCACCTCACCATTCCAGACATTTCACATTCAGACTTCCCTTTTTCCCTAGCATACTTTACTAAAGTAATCTACTAGCTGCCCCTCAACCCAAGGCTCTTTTTTAGAGACAGTCTCACTCTGTCACCCAGGCTAGAGTGCAGATCACAGTGCACTGCGGCCTCAACCTCGCATGCTCAAGCGATCCTCCTGCCTCAGCCTTCTGAGTAGCTGAAATTATAGGCATGTGCCACCATGCCCTGCTAATTTTTTTTTCTTTTGAGATGGAGTTTCGCTCTTGTTACCCATGCTGGAGTGCAGTGGCAGGATCTTGGCTCACCGCAACCTCCGCCTCCTGGGTTCACACAATTCTCCTGCCTCAGCCTCCCGAGTAGCTGAGACTACAGGTGCACGCCACCATGCCCAGCTAATTTTTGTATTTTCAGTAGAGATGGGGTTTCACCATGTTGACCAGGATGGTCTCGATCTCTCGACCTTGTGATCCACCCACCTCGGCTTCCCAAAGTGCTGGGATTATAGGCGTGAGCCACTGCGTCCGGCCCCTGCTAATTCTTAGTGTTTTTCTAGAGATGGGTTCTCCCTATATTGCCCAGGCTAGTCTTGAATTCCTGGCCTCAAGCAATCCTCCCACTTCAGCCTCCCAAAGCTCTGGGATTACAGGTGTGAGACACTGTGCTGAGCCAGTTTCTTTTTTTATATCCCCCTGTTAAGCTGTGAACTCTTTGAGACTAGGGACTATATGCAGTTCACCTTCCTCTTTCTGTTGGACTCAACACAGTGTAAGTCACACAGTCAGCATCAGGAGACCTTTGTTTAAAAACTAATAAAGCTAATATTATCAACTACTTAATATGTGCCTGGCGCTAATTTTAGCATATGTGTCCACATATATTAATTCATTTAATTCTTGAAAGTGGGTTCTAATTTTATCTGCACTTTGTAGATGTATAAAATGAGACTCCCAGAAATGAAGTAACTTGCCCTGGGTCCCAAACTGGTAGAGCCAGGATTCAGACTCAAGAAGTCTGATCTCGGCATAAGTTTTCTTAATCACTATGCTCTGCTGACAGAAAAAAAAGGCAAGAATGAACAAATGTATGCACAAATGGATGAAGTGGTGACTTTGGAAGCAGACTCACATAGTGAAATTGGAGATAAAGGCAAGATGAGGCAGATCCAGGTCAAAGATGGCTTCATGGACTTCAGCATGTGGATTGAACAGGACAGAGGTGACCAAGGTGTGGGCATAGCGAGACACCACCGTGGAGCGCATGGAATAGCTTGTCATTAACAGCTGAGAGAGAAGACAGGAAGAGGTGTTTTAGGTGGACTATGTCCTCAGCCTAGATGGGCTACTACTTGGGAACCCAAGATTCCTGCACAGGCCTCAAAGTATACAGGTGGAGAAACTGAGGCCCAGAGTGGGAAAACAGCTTCTGCCATCCATTTTGTTTATCTGCCTGATTACTTCAGCAAGCTTTATCAAGTCTCAGAATGCAAGACTCACAGAAGATTAGAGATCAAGGGGCCTCTCTGGGCAAGCACTTCTCTAACTTTAATGTGCACATGGCTCTCCTAGAGATCTTGTTAAAATGAAGATTCTGATCCAGAAAGACTGGAGTGAGGGCTGAGATTTTATCTTTCTAACAAGCTCCCATGGGATGCTGCTGCTGCTAGTCCACAGATTTTACTTTGAGTAACAAGGCTTTAGAATATAACAGAGCAGCCGCCATTCATTGATTTTTTTTCTTCTTTAGAATCTCAGGTGTAAAGAATTGCACTTATAAGCATAATCATGCACTGCAAGCATGATAAGTAGCTGGCGTCCATTTTGAGGTCACACAGCAAGTACAAGATCTATCTCCGTCCTCCCCTTTTTTTGAGGTAATGGTCCCTCTCTTCCCACATATGATGCACAGCCAGTTCCTTCCCAGTGTGGGCCAGTGGGACATGAGGACAATTTGAGATCAGATGGACCTAGGTTCAAATTCTGGTTCTGCAACTTCCTGTGTCTTAACTTTGGAACCTCTGTTTTCTCTTCTCTATAATGGGGATAATAATATAGCCCAGCTCACAGAGATACTGTGAGGACTAAATGAAATAATAATTTTGGGACCCCTGGTGTAGCCCCTGACATGTGCTCAGCAAATAGTACCTCTTTTCTGTGGCTCTAGCTTCTCAGTCATGAAACAGACTGAACAACCTTCCCAAATTCCCCCCAAGAAGCTAATTTTATCACAAATCCCCAAGCTTTGTTCCCTCATCCCAGAACTGACCTTTGTGCTTGATGAAGGGGGGACAGGAGGTCCCTGGTATGTCAGTTCAAGAAGAATGGTCAGCAAAAAGCTGACACAGAAGAGGTACCTCCACCCAGACATGATACACCTCTGGCCTGGATCTGTTGTTCATGTACAGAAGATCTGAGCCCGATTTCCAAACCCTTGCTCTTTTAAACCTCCAGGTATCCCTTCTCTTGAGAGGGAGGGACCATCCTGAAGGGTGGTGAAGGCTCTGAATGTGGCATTGAGGCTCACACAAGTCAGGATTGTCCAAGAGCTGGGACTGGCATCTTGCCTGGAGAAGGGCCGGTTCCATGCTTCCTTTTTTCCCCTCATCCAGCTGTAAGATGAATGGAAACTAAACATACCAGAGTGCTGGGTCTGTCTGTTTGGTGTGTTGGCTCAGGGTGGGGTTTTTCTTTCCTATAAACATCCACAGGAGCCCAGTAACTGGGGCCAGAGAAAGGTCACTTAGCACTGATCATCTTAAAAAGGTAGCAGAGATGAGAGAGGGACTGGCAAGGCAAGCCCCCAATGCTGGTCTTTCCTGGTATTTAGCCTAGTGCTGGGAGGGACTTACTCAGGATCCCATAACAGTTTAGGGGTTCCACAGACATAATAAGGTTACAATCTCCAGAATAGCCAGAGGCCAAGACAGGCTGGGGCAGGACTGAGAAGGAATATAGCACAGTGGTTTCAAAATACACGCTCTGGACTCAAATCACCTGGGTTTGAATCTCAGTTCTGCCACTTACTGACTGTATAATATTGAGCAAGTTAACTAACCTCTCTGTAGCCTCAGTTTCCTCATCTATAAAATAAGAATAGTAATAGCACCTACTTCATAAAGTTCTTTTGAAGATTAAGTGAGTTTGTACTTTTAGAATGTTTGGCATATGGTAAGTGATCAGTAAATAGCTGCTGGAAGGAGGGCAGGATGAGGCATGGCAGAGGTCAGAAGTGTGGAAAGCTCTCTGTCCTAGGGAGACCTGAGTGGAGGGAGAAGGGAGGAGCTGAGGTGCTCTGGACTCAGGATCTGCAGGTCCTGTGGAGGATGGGGGTGGGGAGTGGGGCTGAGAAAAAGGAAAATACTTGAAGGTCTGCAGGAGGACTAGCAGTTCAGTTAGAACCCTGCCGCCCCCTCCCCTCCCTCCTCCACCCACCCACACAGGGAGCACTGACAGCTCCAGTACTTGCTCTCAGGGGCAAAATCTCTGACATTTTACAAACTGTCATTTCACAAACTGCCCCAGGAACACTCATATTTGTCCTAGGGCATTTGGCATCACAACAAAGTCTTCTCATTCTGGCATCTGTGGGTCCCAAAACCTGTCAGTTGCCACCTCCCACAAGTCCACAGCAAGTTTCCTCTCAGGATTTCCTCATGAGAGAGAATCCTAGCTAGAGAACAGCTCTGCTTATACAGCAATAGAGAAAACTCCCATCAGCTACCCAGTCCTTTCCTCTTAAATATGAATGAGTAGCCAAGGAACCTCAAGCAAATTAAGGAAGCCTGTAGCATGAAAGCAAAATATTAAAAGAAATCATTAGAAGTGACCCTAGAGCAATTTGGGGATCTGGGAAACAAAAGAGAACTTCAGGGGAAGAAAATGATACTATTCTCAATAATATTCAAGAAGATATAACATGCATAAAACAAGAACTAGATGCCAGAAAACAGGAACAATCAGAGAAAACAGAGATTCCTTAGAAATTAAAAATAAGTTACTGAAATAATACATTTTTCAGGACTGGGAAATGACATTGAGGAAACCTCCCAGAATATAGGGCAAAAAACCCAAGGCAACAGAAAATGTGAGAGAAAATTTTAAGAGAGCTGGATGAATCTAGCAAGTTAAACATTTGAATAATAGGAGTTCTAGATAGAGAAAGCAATACAATGAAAGAAACTTTATCGAACACATATTAGGCCAGATGTGGTGGCTCACATCTGTAATCCCAGCACTTTGGGAGGTTGAGGTATCCACCTGACTAGTTCTCTTACCTTATGCAAGTCTTTGCCCACATGCACCTTTTCAGTGAGTCGTTCT